CCCCCCCCACCGCTTCCTCCTCGCCGATTGCTCCATCGGCTTCGGCCGCTCCGCTCTCGGCGGCAAAAACGGCCTCATCTACACCGTCACCGATTCCTCCGACTCCGATCCCGCCAACCCCCTCCCCGGCACTCTCCGCCACGCCGCCATGCAAACCTCACCCCTCTGGATCATCTTCGCCTTCGACATGTACATTCGCCTCAACCAAGAACTCCTCGTCAACAGCTTCAAAACCTTAGACGGACGCGGCGCAAACATCCACATCGCGGGCGGAGCCTGCATCACCCTCCAATTCGTCTCCAATGTCATCATCCACAACCTTCACATCCACGATTGCGTCCCCTCCGGAAACGCCATCGTCCGATCCTCTCCAACCCACGCCGGATTCCGCGGCAGATCGGATGGCGATGGAATCTCGATCTACGCCGGACGCGACATATGGATCGATCATTGCGATCTCTCCAACTGCGCCGACGGGCTTATTGATGCAATAATGGGATCGACGGCGATCACGATTTCCAATTGCTACTTCTCGAGGCACAATGAGGTCATGCTTATGGGTCACAGAGACGATTACCTGCCGGATTCGGGGATGCAGATCACCATCGCCTTCAATCGATTTGGGGAGAAACTGGTTCAGAGGATGCCGAGGTGCAGGCGTGGGTATTTTCATATTGTGAACAATGATTACACGGAATGGGAGATGTACGCCATTGGTGGCAGCGCCAATCCCACCATTAATAGCCAGGGGAATCGATACAGAGCTCCCCCTGATCCAAATGCCAAGGAGGTAACCTGAATTTGAAACTTGTTTCGTCATTTTCACTGAACTCAAATCAGCTTCAGGCTCTTTTTGGGGCAGGTTATGTGCTACGAAGACCTTTTGAAAATACGGACTGTGTTTGAACAGTTTATCTAAAAATGTAGTTGATTTTTTACACTTAACACATAACACGAGTCAACCTCATCGTGTTTCAGATAAGCTATTTATCTGGATAAACACAAATTGCCCCAAAGATTAGGTTTGATAAAGATTATTACTATTTTTATTAATATTTAGCTATGATGATTCACGTTAAGATAAGTATTTAGTGCGTTGGCTATCCAACGGAAGTGATAAGTGATCACTATTAATCCTGACTAATTAGATATTAATTAAATTATTTAAGCCTTTTAGTTCTTAAACATGATAAGCTGGCTTGGTATAAAAATCATTCATCAACTTATTGTATTTAATTATGAGTTCAATAAATCACTATTTTAAATAAAAATTAAATTTTAATTTGGAAAAAAAATGTATTTATGCATATTTTTCTTCATTAAATATACTTATTAAGCTAAAAAAATTAAGTGTAAACTTTAATATTAACACCCACGACACTTAAATTCTTAACACCAACACGTAGAAATGTAAAAATCATGTCATATACGCAAATCCGTAAGAATTGAGGGGTATGCATGTAAATTTCCCGGCCTTCTCGAAAATATACTGGATGCCATCATCTCTTTATAAGGAGGTGAAGGTCCTTGGTGTAATTTGAGATTGTGCTGGGGGGCTGAGCTTGAAAAATGCATAATTGTTGGCCAGGTGACGAAGAGAATAGAGACGGATGAGGAAGAGTGGAAGGAGTGGAATTGGAGGACGGAGGGAGACATGCTGGTCAACGGCGCTTACTTCGTGCCGTCGGGAGAGGGCTCGGCGGCGACGTACGAGAAAGCCTCCAGCCTGGACCCCAAGTCCGCTCAGTTCATCGACCAGCTCACCTGCAACGCCGGCGTGCTCGGTAGCCCCAGGTACGTCCGTACATTAGTCAAAACCACACGAGCAAATCATTTTACATTAAAAAAAATACTATTAGCCAAATTTGGATTAAAGTTGAGTTTTCGGGTCAATTTTCAATAAGGTTCGAATTTTT